ATCTAACTTTCATCAACTATAGACCTATATCTAATCTAACTTTCATCTCAAACATTTTAGAGATCATAGTTGCAGGTCAGTTGCGTGAACATCTACAAAGGAATAATCTGTTTGAAGAGTTTCAGTCAGGGTTTAGAGCTCACCACATGCACTGAATCTGCACTGGTGGAAGTTACTAATGATATTCTCATGTTCTCTGACAATGGACAGGTGTCTCCACTGGTCCTGTTAGACCTCAGTGCTGCATTTGATCATCATCTATTACAGAGACTTGAACATGATGTTGGAATTACAGGAACAGCTCTAAATTAGTTTAAATCATATTTATCTGATAGATTCCAGTTTGTAAATGTAAATAATGAATCTTCTTCATACACCACAGTTAGTCATGGAGTTCTTCAGGGTTCAGTGCTTGGTCCAATACACTTAGTTCGTTAGTGACGGCTTGTCCTGAGTTCTCCTAAAGGTTTCTTCCTCATAAATTGAAGTTGAATTAATTCTGTATTAACAACGTAAGCAAAACATCACTAACCTTTTTTTTTTTTGTTACTAATTCCTTTTTCTTTTTACTGGTTCAAGATAATTTAGTTCAATTCAGTTTATTTATATAGTGCCAAGTCACAACAGAAGTCGTCTCAGGGCACTGAACAAAAATTCATATATATATAAAAATTCCTATAGCGACATTATTTGTCTAAGATAGGGTAGACAGCAGATTGAGTTTCATCGCAGTCTCCCATCCTGAGCAAACACAGGGCAACAGTGGAAAGGAAAAACTCCCTTTTAACTGGTTCCAGCAGAACCAGGCTCATGACGAGTGGCCATCTGCTTCGACCCGCTGGGTTTGAGAGGACAGGAAGTAGAGCCAGACACAGAATGACATGCCCAGGTGTGTTTTCTGTAGGAGAAAATACAAAAACCATGTTAAGATAGAAATAATGACAAATACTAAGTATGAATTTGATGAAATGAGGTGAACTTGTCCTCCACTAGTCTAAGCCTGCAGCAGCAGAACTAAGGGATGTCTCAGGAAACCAACTGGGTGTTCAGCCGTATTGCTCCATGTTTTATCTGTGCAGTGACTCTTTGACTGCATTACGTAAATACTGTAGTAACATAAATTAATGTGGTTAAAATATACAAGTTTGACTTTTTACCACCTTTTTTACATTTATTGTCAAACTGCATTTTAGTTGTCAGAAGCACTACTGAGAGATCATCCAGCCATTATTAGACAGAAGGACCTTCTCCTGCTCCGCTCCTGTTTCCTGGAATATCTTGCAAAAGATCTGAAGCTCTCGACCTTTGACCTCTCTAAGTGTGTTCAAACAACTGATCAGTTCCTGCAGATGTTCCTGCTTTTAGTTTTCTACATGGCCTTACAATCTAGCTGTTCTTTGTTTCCATCCATCATCTTTACAAGCTTCTTCCATGTTTGGGTCACAGGGGTCACTGGTGCCCATGTCCAGCAGACACTGGGCAGGGGACACATGGACAGGTCTCCAGTTAATCACCAATTTAGCGTTACCAGTCAGTCTAACATGCGTGTTTTTGGTCTGTGGGAGGAAACTGGAGAAAATCCACGCAACACGGAGAGAACATGCAAACTCCACCCAGAAAGGTTCCCAGTCGGGATTTGATCCTGCAACCTTCTCGCTGAGTGGCAACAGTTCTACGGACTGAGCCACCGTACAGATTGTATATTAGATCCACAGACTCAACACATAAAACTAATCATTGTCACGTCTCCTGTTTAAATTTTACATCACATGTTTTTCCACTTGTCAGTAGTTTAAACCTGTAGTAATCCTGGACCGTTGTGCCTGCAGACTGATACGTAATGCTTCAATTCAGTGACTCACTTTTGAGTAATATTAGAATGTTGAAGACTTTTTATTCACTTACAATGCAGTTTACATGTTGGAAAGACAAACACTGAACTGAAACTTGGCTCCTTCAGACGGTCTGTGTTTGACGCGCTCTTCTGTTCACATCTACTGTAATAACAGGCGCTAACTGCATCCAGCATTTATACCGTGGCGCCTGTTTCATCAAAAGCTTTCACAAGATGGAGACAACCTGAACAGTATCTCCTGAAGTGAGGCGTGTGTGTTCAGTCATCACTTGTGACAGCTGCAGGTTGTTGGAAGAGACACGGCGGGTGCAGTGAGAGAAGAGCTGCTTTTAGCCGTGATATATTATTTCTTTACTTCTGCTGTCTTTAAGAACGATTTGTACAAACGGCATCATTCTCTGCGTGATATTACAGAATCTGAGTTGACCTTTTTTTTACTTCTTGCAGATTTATCTTTCATGGAAGAGTGGCCCTGCAGAGGTAAAACACTGGAAGGACATGATAAGTCATCCCCGATCCTCCGTGGCCCAGTGGCACTCTCTCAAAGCTTGAAGGGATTCAGCAGCAAAACTGCCCAAAGTTTCCTCCGCCCAGAAGTCAGCGACAGCCCCCCAGCAGACGCCCCTTCCTCCCTAAACGCAGCGCTGAGCTGTGGACCGTGTGTCATCTCTTTGTTCTCAGGCTGCTTTGATATCTCCTGCCCCTCAGTCCCATGAATCCACCCTTCACTTTCACCCGGTTCTTCAGTTCTGATCTCCACCTGACTCCTTCATATTATTTGTCTGAACTTGAAAATATCTTTGATGTCCTCACTTCCATGTGCCCCCTTTCTATTATATATTTTTTCAAGATATCCCTCAATCTTTCTTTCATCGTTTCAGCCATTCTTGAAGCCTAACATCTGCGCAGAACTTCTCGCTGCCCATGAAGACAAGCTGCCAACCAAAAAGTGAAAGAACTGATGGTCCAAGCATCATCTGCGGCAGCAACGTGGCCTCTGTTCAAGCACGAGTGTGTCGCTGACCTGTGGGACCCCGGTTCCACCGACACGTCTGATGTTGCAATACGGAGCCTCCCACTCTGCTCCCTCCATCCTCACTGATCCAGCACACCAGTAAAATGCCTGAAACTATCAGGAAACTAGTACAGGTAATGGAAGAGTGATGCAATGGATTCCAAACAGTTTGGAAGTCGACTCTGTTGTTTAATTTAGGTTTGACTTTTTTTTGCTGCCACCACTGTAACAGTGCTTGTCCCTTGGCTGGAGCCCGTCGTCGTCTGTGCGTGATGTGGGTGACGTGCTGTGATCTCACATGATGTTCTCACATGATGTTCTCACATGATGTTCTCACATGATGTTCTCACATGATGTTCCTGAACAAAACGGGGGTATGAACATTTACCACTGCTCTACGAAGGCAAGCGTCCAAACGATTTGTTTTGGGGGAAGAAATCCCAGTGGACTAAAAGAAGAGTAAAAGAGTTTTTATCATTTTTATTGTTACATTTTATTTATTGTCCCTGCTTCAGCTGCCGCCCCCACGGCCCGACCAGAACAAGTGGAAGATGATGGACGGATGGAATTTATTTAGTTTTTTGTCTCACAGAATGAACTTGTTCTTCCAAACAGAAAAACAATTAGTTTCCTTTGATGTGGGATTATGGTGTGCACATGTGGGGTAATACTTCTGGAGTTACACAACTAATTTTAGGATATGGAGCTGAGATGGTGTAGGGGCAGAGCAGCCGGCAGTCACAGGTTCGATCCCCAGTCGTTGCACATCTCGTGAGCTCTCTGAGCAGAACACCTTATCCCTGATTGCTCCACGGCGCCCTCAATAGCTGCCCACTGCACAAGTTGATTTGTGGATATTTCCAGTACAACAGAGATGGTTGTGCATGATCTGTGGCCCACCGAACACAAATCCTCATCAAGTTGTGCTTTCGGTGGCTCATTTAAGAAATAAAAGTTTGTTTTTCTTTTTTAAGGGATGACTGTTGCACCCTGTCGGACTCGGTCAAGAACAAAAAATATGAAAGATGAAACGGTTTGTTATAAAAAGGATCAAACTAAGATTGATTCAAATCCAGTCAAATTCC